TTACCTTCAATTTATTTCCGCTTTCCATGAATGCGTTCACGAAATGCTCCTTAAATAACAAAAGAATTCAACTTCCATATTATTTGTGCAGGTCCTGACGCTAGCCGGTGGTCAGTTGTTTGCATTTATGCTTGATAAAATTGAACTAACTGAAGACAAATAAATATAATTGCATCGATATTAATTTAGGCTTGTATCTTGAGCAGGTCAGATCATTAGGATTAGGACTAAACCTTGTCCCACGAGTTTACTTACCTATCTACATTCACTTACCTATTTATATTCTCTATGTACCATTATCAATTACATTTCCTCGTATCCTGTCTACTTTAAGCCTGTAACGTTAACTGTAGTTTATAAATGCAACCTGCCTACTCGAATTTGAATTGCATACCTCCTAAATATAATTTCGATACAACGTTCCCTGACACTGTTCAAGTCCTCATCTGTGAAGACGCTGTTGCGGGAGAGGGGGCAACACATATAAGCTACCCCAACGGGATAGTGAGGAAGCATAGTAACTATATACTCACAGTTGTCTGAAATTCTATTTTGAAAAATTACCAAGAATGAAGTGCACGTACATTATTTAATAGACAAACTATACAAATTCTACGAATTAATTTATAAGAAGTACATTGGTAATCCTAGGTAGCTGCTAGACTGAAAATGCAAAGTTAAACATTGAAGAACACTACATTCAGCTGGGCCCATCCGTTATCGCAGAGAGGAAATCACAGTTTAGCGAAGATCGTCCAAGTCAAATCAATTCAAAGTGTGTGAATCTAGCGGAGGAGTGCAGTGCTTGCCGAGAGATTACGTCGGGACACTTTTCCAACGTCGCGAACAAGTTGCAGCTTCCTTCAACACTATTACACGAGTGGAAAGACAGATGTTCATATCAACGACAAAGTCCATGCGACGTACAGCGCCGAAAAGCGTTACCGTCTTGAGACAGGTACTCTAGCTCCGTTTGCCTGCAGCCGCACCCGTCCATGGCCGGCGAACGAAGTAACCAGACTACAATAACTTGGGTTTAAATCAATGGCTGACAGCAGCATCAGCGGTACATCAAAGGTATATTACTGACGACCAATAACTGTGTCCTGCCACGCCTGCCCAGGCAGGCGGCTCAATCGAGAGTGAGCCGAAGCATGTGAACGTTTGAACTTTGCGAAAGGCGACTATGATACACTTCGTGAAACGGTGAATGCGGCGAATATTTCGGACTGTATTAAGGACATGAATGTGGCTGATTCATGGTCGTTTCTCAAAGACACGGTTATGTCTGCAGTTGATGCTTGTGTACCCAAGATTACGCTTGGAGGAGTCAAAAAGTCCCAGTGGATGAANGCTCCAAGTATGAACGCGTTCAAGAACAGACTAGATAAAGCTATGGAAAAATATATGTTCAGATTTGAAATGCCTAGCTCCTTATCGAACCCGGTGGAAGTCTAGTAGCTACTTCAAACTATCGTCAGTCATGAAAAGATCCGGTCAAATGACACGATTTTAGATCTATGAACAAGGCACGAAAAGGAAAAGAATCGGCGACGGGCCACATCAGGCCTACACTTCAGCGCCGACATCACTATGTTATGTATGTTATGTTATGTTCATGTTCAATTCCAGCTCCGAGTAAGGCGCCGGAAAGAAAGAAGAAGAGCGAGAACGACAGTCAGAAAGTCGGGCCGCTACAACGCTGCTAAAGAACTGATTTAGAACATTGGCCTTGCCCTCCTCAGAAGATATCTTCCGTTGATTTAAGTTCAAATCAGCAATACCGTCCCTTGTCTTACACTTCGAACTAGCATACAAGAAGAAGGCTTTCGGGTTCTTTTTCGAGTTGTTGGCAACGTCTTTTTTTAAATTTTTGACTGCGGTGCGGTTGTTAATATATAAAAAAAACACAAGAAATTCATTGTACATGTGTAACAGCAAAGACACTGACCTCTTCAGAAGTGTTATAAAGTAATTTTAAACGCATATTATTATTACTGCACTACTATTTGGCTTCATTTTTTGTTGTTTATGTGTAACTTGTTTAACTTCACAAATCTTACAATCGATATTTAACACACTTCTACCTGTTCAATCGATCTGAAATTTTGCACACTTGCGTAAAGTTAGAGACAATGCATAAATCAATAGACAGAATCACCAAAGTAATGGTCAATCAGTGATAATCAATTAATTTTGTTTTGTATGAAATAAGAATTTTGTATGAAATCTAATACTTCACAATCAAAAATTTATAAGCAAGAAAATAGCCAGAAAATTAACCATTTCTTAAAAAGAAAAACGTTTTGGAGACCAGCTCCATCATCAGTTAAATACCTAAAACACAGGTACAAACAATTAGAAATAAATTCGCATTGAAGTATAAATCGTCAAACGAGAAACAAACAATAATGAAGCAAACAAGAATGAAACAAACAAGAATGAAGAAAACGTTGGCACAAACCTATCTATTTACAATTTCGAGGGGATATGAACTGTTAGCGGCATTTAAAATAAGCTTTTTGTTTCAAAATATGAAGCGACTCTAAATTCACAGGACGGAAACACCGGTCGTGGAGGCTAAAATCCGAAAATCACTATCGGACACTGGCAAGTTGCACTGCTCGGTATGGACGCGTACTGCTTAATGAAGGGAATGCGCAAGCAGGTTTCCTGTTCTAAAACTCCTATGGCTAAAGAGTTGAAAGGTTTGTTCGCTAAATGCCTCCCAAATGTAAATCTTCATGTATTGCTGGTGAATAATTTTAAAATCAGTTCTTTTTTCAAGTATAAAGACACACTCCCTGTTCTTATGCGATCGTCTCTAGTTTATCAATATAGTTGTGCGCTATGCGCACCTGCGTATGTCGGTATGACATCTCGCAACTTTTATACTAGCTGGCGGAGCATAAAGGAAGGAGTTTTAGAACAGGAAACCTGCTTGCGCATCCCCCTCATTCAGCAGTACGCGTCCATGCCGAGCAGTGCAACGTGTTAGTGTCCGATAGTGATTTTCGAATTTTAGCCTCCACGACCGGTGTTTCCGACCTGTGAATTTTAGAGTCCCTTTATATTTTTAAACAAAAGCCTATTTTAAATGCCGCTAACAGTTCATATCCCCTCGAAATTGTAAATCCTCAGTAAAATTGTACCCCCATGGACTGTCCCACAGTACCCCGGGCCGGGGTACTGAGGACATTTTATTTTATTTCGTATTTTGTATATCTAGTCTCTGTAAACCATCCTGATCATTGCTTAGGGACTTGGAAATGTAACCAAGGATGTGGTGCTTAGTTTCATTTAGCATTTAATATTGTAAAAGGGAAATTAGTCGATTTATTTTTTATTTAATTTTTTGTCCCATTTTAACCAGCTTTCCCCCCATTCTTCGTTGTATGTGTTAGATTTTGACTGTTTCTTATCCTATGTCTTTATTACTTTTTTTCATGGTTATGAAAAGGAACTGAATCCTCGTTTGTTTCTGCGATTAGGTATACATTCTAGCAGATGTAAGGTGTACGGATTCACTATGCGTACGAATTATTTGTATAGAGGAAAACATTTTTAAGTCTAGTTTTCATTTACTTCCAGAACCAAGATCCTGAACTGTCTTCTACAGAGGGTCGAGCTTCCGGACACGGCCTCATAATCCTGTCGAGGACCAATATAATGAAACAATTAGCAATTTACCGACCAATGGATTTGTCAGGACATTTAAATTGTTTTCAGATGGATATAAGGTTTCAGTTCTCGAGTTGTGTTTGTAATACAAAATTTTGTAATTATGTCATTCGAAAAAAAAACAAATTTTGAGCGATTCAAAAGCCTTCATATTACTTGATAATGAATCATGAATTTTCGAAACATAGAAATCTTATACTGAAATAACCCTTCCCTTAGAAACCACATATTACAACTAATCCTACAAACGGCCTAATTGGAAAGTTGAAAAAATCAATATAAAAGTTGAATCAAAATTTCTCTCATGTCTCCAACAAAACCTGCATAAAAGAACAAGTTCTGCCAAAGTATTTCAATTATAACAAACCACGAACGTCCAGAATGCGGTGCACAATTAACTTTATTAAAACACCAATTAATTGCTAAATTTAACTAAAACCCCTTAACAATGAGACGAGTATCAGTTTATCTTGAAACATTTCTCAGTAATTCCACCTTAAGGAACTTCTAGCCAGCGTTGTGCGCTCAAATGTATTTGGTCCTATTAATGAACCGAAAACTTCTTATCAAGATAGGAAACACGATATTTATTATACTGTAGTTTTGAAGTTATGCCGATTTCCAGAAACGCGTTTTCTTAGTAATTCGTCATTCCTCACCACTCATATACAAATCCCATCGTAAAAGGCTTTGTTTTTATAATTATATCTTCTTCTAACATCATCAGAAGAAAATTTATGAGAATTTATATACTTTGATGTTTCAAATGCGAGCCAACATAGAAGTCGAAGCAAATTCCTACTACGTTAATTGGCAGAGAATGAGTATTACTACGCGATTAGGATGGGTACTTTGAAATAATTTGCTACTACCGGAAGTAATATCACAAAAATCACTCTTTATACAGAGGTGTTCCAATGAACGAGCATTTTTTCTTCAATTTTAACTGAAAATATACTCAAATGCTGGCACTGGTTTCCAAAGAATTTCAATGAAGTTCTTCTGAAGAAAGTTTTTGGAGAAAGCTTAAATGGTAAAACCATGAGAAGAGTCTGGTAAGTCATGGCTAATATATTAGGCCTATTCAATGCGATTATTCTATTCAAACTCTGAATTTGTGGCCTTGAGGCAATTCATAGAACTTTCCGTCATAGAGAATGGCTGACTTTCTGTAGTCTTTATGTCGAGTAACATTTCAATGACGTTCCTTGAAAAAGAAGATAATTAATCAAAGGGAGAAGTTCAGAAAAATGGGACTGAAAGCCATGTATTTTAAAAGCCTATTTCATGCATGGTTATTTATCCCACTCGTCCCTCAGGGTGTGATGGTGCACAAAGTTGACGACTCGTGCTACATGGCGACCCGCACGCAGGCGCCATCTAGCGTCACGCCGCACCTGTCGTCCGCAACGTTCCACGCTTCAGGATGAGGACCAATTTTACAGTCACAAAATCTCACTCTGTTATTGAGTCAATAATTCTTATAAACCTTACTGATGAATTCAATGTACATGCGTTTAAATATCGTGAATGTAGAAAGAAATTGATCCCGTGATTTTTTAGATCAAATCCATCCTCTCACGTATGAAAATATTATTTGAAGCAATGCATCTGAGAACAGTTTATATACACAGAAATACTTGCAATTAGGTAATACAATTTATTTATGCATATAAAATGTCAGTAATTTTCTTTAACGGAAATCACTTGATTTTCATACCAGAAACAGTTGACAAGACAATCATTGTATCTGAAACTATGAGATGATTCCCACCACATAAAATGCAGGTTTACCAGCGGTTGTAAAACTCGTTTTATATAAGTGATTTTAATATTATGAAATTTTGTATTTGAAGGCAATTCTGGTCAACAAAACAGAGAAAAGTTGCTTGGATTGAATAGGATTTTTCATTCGGGAAAATGTATGTTTGCCAACTGTGAAAGTAGAAACGAAGGCTTGCAATAGAGCAGTGGTTCCCAAACTTTTTCAGGCTGGTGCCCCTTTTGGCTCCCTAGTGAATTTCTAGCGCCCCCACAGACACATAAAAAACATACTTATCTTTCTTGAAATTTATTACGCTGCAATTTTAAAAGATAAAGGTTAAACACAAATGTGTATTTCATAAATACAATCCTATTTATTGAACCAATATGTTTTTTCAGCTGTTTTAACTGTTTCAGAACTAGAAACCTAGGACGTCTCGGGCAAATTTACGGCGGACTCGTGGCCGGTCTCACGACCAATCTCTAAATTCAATTATCAAGTAATATCTCCCAAACTAATAAACGCAGCTCAATGAAACTTGGAACATGTATTCATCAGTACCTAACGGTGACGTTTAGCTCATGAATTTTTTTTAATTTCACCTCCATTCATGAGTTATATTGCGATACAGGCCGAATTTCGCAGTGATCAAAGAATTTCTTCCAAACTACTGAATATATATGAACGAAATTTTGAATATGCATTCCTAACTACCAAACGGTGACTTTTTTTAGCTTTTAAACATTTTTTTATTTTACCTTCGTTTGCGAGTTTCTTTATTTCACCGTCATTCTTGATTTGACACTTCTTTATATTCGGCCAGTATCGCTGGGTAATTTGTCACTTAAATTCGCGGCGATCAAGAAATTCCTTCTAAACTACAGAACAGATTTCAACGAAACTTTGTATATAAAACCTAACCTCTCAACGGTGATGTTTACATCATGACAATTTTTCTATTTTGCTTTCGTTTGCGAGTTATACAGATATAGGAGAAACGACCGGCCGGTTTAACAAAGAGCCGTATACGTATTGCCGTATAACTCGCAAACGATGGCAAAATCCAAAAAATTGTAACGAGATAAACATCAACGTTGCTGAGGTTAGGTATTAAAATACTAAGTTTCGTTCAAATCTGTTCAGTAGTTTGGAAGAAATTTCTTGATTACTGCGAATTTAAGCACGTGTTACAGTTTAAATCACGAATGAATGTGAAATGAAAAAACTCGCGAACGAAGGCACAATCTAAAAAATTTTCACGAGTTAAACATTACCGTTCGGTAGTTAGGACTGTAAATTCAAAATTTCGTTCGAATCTTTTCAGTCGATTGGGAGAAATTCCTCGATCACTGTGAATTTCAGCTCGAATTGCCATATAAATATGGCAAAAACAAATGATGGTAAAATTAAAAAAATTTCACGAGCTAAACAATACCGTTAGATCCTAATGAATACGTGTACCAAGTTTAATCGAGTTAAGTTCATTAGTTTTTGAGATATTCCTTCATCATTGAATTTGGAAATTGGCCGTGAGACCGGCCGCGAGTCCGGCCGTTAATTTGTTCGAGACGTAAACCCAGGAGAGGTTAAAAAACAGATCTGGGTGAAAAACAAAAAACCTTCGCTGGAAGACTACCACCCCCCTTACCGCCCCCCAACCGCCCTCTTCTTCCTTACTGCCCCCCCAAAATCTTTCCACCGCCCCTAGGAGGGCGATATCGCCCACTTTGGTAACCACTGCAGTAGAGCTTCTAAATATTGGGCTTTTTTAAAGTATTTGTGAATTTAAACAATATGCCATTGGTGAAATTATATGTTCTTACATCGTGTTTCCAATTTGTAGGTTGCTCATCTTAACACTGAACTGAAGAGCTACTGCACTGCCGCACCAGCAGTGCAACTTGGTGGTTGACCGCCACACGACAGCTGCCGACGTTCAGCGACAAACTCAGCGACTACAAAACCAACACAACGAGGAAATAAGATTGAAAATTACAAGCATGATTGAAATCACTAGGTTTTGCATGCTCTTCGTTATATTTTGGTCACTATTGAATAGGAATTTGTTCAAGGAAAGACCGTCGAACTCACGTACGTTGATGTAAAATTTCTTCAAAATGATGTGTGTGAGGGAAAGCTCGCCAAAATAGATTTCCCGCTAATATTGTCAAGTTAGGTCAAGCGCGCTGGTCGCTTAGTTCTAAGTTCACTGCTTGTCTAGCCGGGAAGACGCGAGCATCTTGTACGCTCTTCGTTACCAGTCAGCATTGCTTTGCTGTACTGCGGTATGCACCGGTAAGCTGCTTCATGAGAATTAATACTTGTACATTTTTGTCTTTGTCATACTATACGGAAATTGAGTCACTTGGGTTTAATTGGTTTAAGTGTTTCAATTATGGATGTGAATTAGATGCAAGTTGTTAGCCTTGGTCTGACTAAACGGTTTCAGTTTACCAGCTAGTCATTCGCTAGCCAGTCATGGTTTTTCTATTGGTCTGTATTTTGTCAGCACCCCAACAGTCTGCTCGCTTTAAATCCCTAGCGCGGCAGCACTTGTAGCCTGATGCTGACTTATGTCCCTTTAATTCAAGGTACGCCGGTAGGCCTGCGAGGTTTTCCTGACCACTTAACCTCCGGAGCCTTTGCAATGTTCTAGTTGTGACTAGAGGTTGGCAGCACGACGTGCCTGCTTCAATCGTGGTTGCTTCACCACCACCACGTCACCGTCAGGGGCCACTTCAACCTCGGGAAACTTAAACTTGCTTTAAGTTGAGTGGGGCACTTACTGTTTAGTTTAGTACTCACTGTCAACGATTTAATTCAGTTTAGTATTCACTGTCATCTTTCGTGTCTAATTTAGTGGATTGATAGTTTCTTGGAGACGCCTTCAGGTGTCTGAACTTGAGAAAGCTACATGCTCTTGAACTTCCTAAATTGTTAATTCTAATGTTAGTTCTTAGTAAAGAAAATAAAAATCTTTTCCATTCATTTGTCCTTCCTTCCGACCACGGCCTTAGAGGGTGCCCTGACAATGTGCGTTAACGATTTCGGTAAATCTTATTGGTTTTAAAGCCATGAACTAATGTAAACGAAATCATGAGCACCGTGAGGAATCTACTTCATTAACTTTTTAGCGCCTGTCAATTCTCTGCTCGTTAATAATTCTCATTAAAACATCTAATAGTCAAGTTTATTCGGAGAGAAATTGCAAAAAATGAGCGACCGATTTTGAGGATAAATAGACAGGCAGTGCTCATTCGACCGCCCGCGATCTCCTCGCCCCTCGAATGTTGCCTGTGAGCATCGGGAGAAATACTGAATAGCAAGAGACATGAATGGACGTGCTAAAAGTATGGATTAATTGCATTTGTGTATTATGATTGAATTCCTCATTGATGGCAAGGCAATAAATGTGAATTCGAGATATAAGGCTTAGGTTTTTTTGGAATCTTCAAATTGGTTTGGCAGAAGGCTAAGAAATAAATGCCCAACTCCATTTCCCGCACCCGGTACAGCTTGTGATGGCGAGGTAAGGCCAATGCCTCCATACATTTAGTTAGAATATAAGAGCATAATTATAAGATTTGTTGGGAATGCTGCGCATGGAAAATATACTGTATACGGTCAGTGCAATAGTAATTAATTTTTCGAATATATTATTGAGATGATGAGAAGATTGAATGCCTGCAATTTATCGAATGTACGAGAAGAGAAAACGCTGGCATGGGGATAGAGCTACACGACAATTTTCTAACGTCAGTTGACTCTTTAAGACGGCGAGTTGTCTGATGAAACACCAAAACCATCGTAAGTTTTTCGTGAACGGAAATGTGTGTCTTCCTCGTGCAGCCACACATTACGCGTATTTTTCAGGAATACCGAACTGCAAGACGAATAAATTTATTTCAATCTACCAATGTGTCATTGTTAAAAACCTCGCAGGTGAGACCTGAGTTCCGAGCGAGTCTTCAGCTTATGGGCTGAGGAAAACATTTATCTGAAACTGACAATTAAAAAACGGTAATAGATATGACTCCGCAATGGGCAAATATTATCATTGAAAATAATTATATACAAATCTAGTGCAAATATCCATAATATTCTATCATATTTTGAAATATCTTCATTTCAATTGGGGGCTCTTAAATAAGTTTAGCCTTTAGAGTCCAATACGTTTACCGATACTAAGGAATTTTTTTCAATATCTTCCGATTTATCGAAACACATTTTGGCAACTTGGGCCGACCGCGAATGTTGGGGCGAGAGAAGAAAACCACGACAGCGATTTAATTCTTCAATAATATTCTTGACCGATAAATATATTTGTGCTATATTTAGGTGGAAATTCGTCATGAATTACTATTATTGATTGGTTTTTAATTCTTTTGCCGCCAATTTCATGATTAGACTTACTGTATAATTTTTCTGTAACCTGTATGAACAGTCAATTTTGTTATATGAATGCTGACTCTGGCATCTGAACATTTCCTCATGGCCTGATAGGGATACGAAAAGAGTTTTATTTGTATTAAAACATTCATACATTATTTGAAGAGGTTATAATAGATATTTTCTCTCAATGTGCGATGTATCGCCAACATGGAAGCGACATCGCAACATAAGAGGTTAGTGCAAGAGCTCAATGCCATTGAATGCTGTCCTTAA